CAAGTATTCTCATCTTAATTAACGTTAAATTAAATTAATTATTTGTTTACGCTTTCAAAATTAATGTTCGTTTTGGGTGGATAGGGTGGCTATAAGGGGAGATGCGGAGGCCACAGAAGGTTAGGAAGGCTTTTTTCTCCCTAATCTTGCATTTAAATAATAATGGTATGACAGTTTATGTATAAGAAATGTATTTTCTTTGAAATTTTATTGATTTTCTTGTCTCTTACAGGTATTTTATTTTTAACTTTAATAAGTCGTTAGAATGTATTATATCTTGAATATTTTGTTTATATTAAAGTATTGTTATTTGAAATACTTATCTATCGATGTTCATACGTTGTGTTTCTTATAAATGCTATTAATTTGCAACAATAAAAGTATTATTGAACAAATTGTATTTTATTTAAATAAAATAAATAATAAAATTGCTAAATAAACCTCATTTTGATATAAACAGCGTTTTACTTATTAAATATAACACTAAGACATCTTTTGAGAAATTTAATTCATAGTTATATTACTGGAAATGAACATAAATTATGAGTAATAGTACAATTAAACGTTTCAAGGCCGAACGATGTAGAAAAACGAAAAACAAATGCGATATAGTTGATCGGGCGCTAAAAATTGAAACTTTTAAAAAGACCCTTTGCGACTTATGCTCTCCTGATACAAATTTTCAGATTTAACAAAATTTTCAGTTTTGCGTCCATACGAAGGCCGGTCGAAAAGTTTTGGAAAAAAATACTTTTAAAAAGACCTTTTGCGACTTATGCTCTCCTGATACAAATTTTCANGTCCTAAGGCTTGAACAACAGTAAAGAATAAAATAGCATAAATACTGTAAAATGAAAAGAAATTGTGTCAATTTTTGAAAATTACCAGTCATGCACAGAAGCTGAACAATTTGAAAGAAATCTGAAGCTAATCCCGCGCTTTAATTCTGAACTTAGAAAAAGACCCAATGCAACTTATGCTCTCCTAATACAAATTTCGGAATTTATGAAAATTTTCGGTTTTGAGCCAAATACGAGGGTTGGTCGGAAAATAATGGAAAAAATCAAAAATTTGTTTTTCGATAACTTTTCGACCGGCCCTCGTACATGACGCAAAACTGAAAATTTTGGTAAATCTGAAAATTTGTATCAGGAGAGCATAAGTCGCAAAAGGTCTTTTTAAAAGTATTTTTTCCATAACTTTTCGAACGTCCCTCGTATGTGACGCAAAACTGAAAATTTTGTTAAATCTGAAAATTTGTATCAGGAGAGCATAAGTCGCAAAAGGTCTTTTTAAAAGTATTTTTT